CCAATAACCTGATATAAAGTGATCCACCATGTCTGTTCCATAATTCAAATCCGATAACCTGCATTTCTGATAATCGATACTCAAATGATCAGATACCTCGGTAATATAAATCAATTTGATTGGCTCAGATCGAGCTTTGTGTGACCAAGTATATAATAAATATAATCTAGCCAATTATAATTATTTATAATCACGTGACCAGAAACCATTGGTATCTTAAATCCGATAACTTGTCAAAACCGATACAAAAGCTATCCACCATGTCTATCAGATTTGAGAGGGTGTACTGTAATAGTCACAACGCGTGATTATAGCGAGAGTTAATTTTATAATATATAAATTGCATAGATACCAACAAAGATGAAAACGATGATGAAAAAAGGAAAAAGCTAATTGCATTCAATAATACTTATTAATTAAATCTAGACGACGAATTAAATCCTTGGATAAACTCGGATGATGTGTAATTCGTCTCCAATGCAGCAATGTGATGCATCGTTACCTTCTGATCAAAACAAGCAGGGTGAAATATCAGGTGTGACGTGAATTTTGAAATCACTTCTAACGCTAATTCAGGATTTTGTTAAGAAATTGTCCTTTTCATTTTAAAGAAAAAAATCGCGAAATTTTGGATTAGGAATCCCTGCTGCTTATTTTTTAAATTTGATTTAATTATAAGGTGGTAATGTTCTATGATAATTATGAAAAAAATTCTTTAAAAATACATTGTTTTTTGGACCAGAAGAGCCAGCTATATATATTATAGATGACTCTAAATATGAATTTTTGTATGGTTGAGTTATCAGGTTCCTTCATTGTTGTAATGAGTCCTTGGAATGATTCTTTATGTATAATTTAATTGTTTAAAAATGGTACAGAAAATATTATAAAAATTTTCTTAATTAGGAATTTCTTTAAAAATTAACTATCATATTATCATATTATCATATGAAATCGATCGTGTTTTGCTTTTTTTTAAATATTAAATTATCATTACAGTCAAATTACCAACTACGAATTATCTTTGAAAAACTTCGATGAACTCAAAATATTACAGTAATTACAATGTAAATAACTTTGTAAATGGAATTGAATAAATTGTAAAAATAAAAATTTGCTTTATTTACAATTTTGGCTTGAATTTATGATTATTATTTTTATTATTTATGACTATATACTGTAGTAGTAACTCAGCATACATCAGTACTTTTGCTCATTTTGGGTCAACTTAAGTGGATTCTACAAAAATTTCTGTTCGCAACATTTGACTTGTGTAACAATTTCACGTGGATAGTCACGAAAATATATGTAATTCAATTTTGCAAAAAAAAAAAACGCGATCACCAACGCGCTTTGTAAATACCTTCTAGTCGTTCGCCATGATTCAGCAAAACGTAAGAATACATTTTATGATATTATTCTTCGCTTGTCTTGCTTGAAATGATTATTATTATGTTTGTTGTCACTATTTTTATTAAATAAAAGGTGTAATCGGCATCTAGCAGCTCAATAATACAACTAATTTTTACACGTTCTTAAAATGCTATTAATAGGAATTGAGACGAAGCCTTAGAACTGTAACTGTCACGAGAAAAAAAGCAGAACAAACACTAATTGGGCCATCAAAAAAAAAGCAAGAACAGAGTAATGAAAAGAAATCAACTACACGAGAAGGTACATCAAAGAAAGAAACAAAACCACCTGCGACGACGATTACTTCTAACAAAGGCAAATCGAAAGCATTACAAGTAAAGAAAACTACTACCAAGAAAGCTGAGGTATATATTTCTCATTAACAGCCTATTCATAGGTAAAATGCCGATCTATCTAATTTAGCTATAAGATGTTCGGTTTTTTACTTTATTAAAAAGGTCGGTGTGTAGTATTTGTGAATGTATAATGTACTCGCCAATGTGAAAAATTTTATTATGGTGATTTTATGATTGTGTCGTGTTTTAAGTAGATTTAAAAGTAATCCTGCTTTAGACAATACAAATATTTTTTAATTTGGCTTGTAGGAAAAAAAAGCCCCACAATATCAACCGAGTTTGGTCGAAAAAGCTGCTATCCTTTATCCAGACAATTATTGGAGATTCCATGCTGAAAGCAATACTGGAATGATAAATTATATTAACGAAGAACACCAACTCGAATTGATAAATGTGGATGTGCGTGATCAAGGTAACCAATCATAATTATTTTAACGAATTCACCTAGTAATACTGTCTAAACTAAAACAAATTTACGCGTCTTAATTAACATAGGACCGATCACTGGTATGACACTCTCACCCGATGGTGCAATGCTCGTGACATTTTGTAATGTAGGATGCGCAAAAATATGGGATACCGCCGACTTTAAATTAATTCAAAAATTAAGAGACACAGAGGTGAAACATCATTTGAAATAGAGAAAAACAAATAATATTAAAAGACGTATAATCTGATACCTATTAAATAGGAAATTAATATTGATGAATTCTTCGTTGGTAAATTCATTCCTGATCATACTCGCATGGCAATTGGTGGTAAATTGAAAGATCGTCATCATTGGTCAAAAGATGATGATGATAATCATATTCTACCGTGTCCTCTTAAGGTATTTCCTAAAATTAAAATTTATCGATCTTATTATGTATATGTTAATATGAACTTTTTTCAAATCGGTTAGATCTTTGATATTATTACCGGAAAAGTTATCGCAAGACTTGAAGGTCACACTGAAGAGATACTGTGTGTAAAAACTGTTATATATAAAGGAGTCCCATATTTCTTAACAACAAGTCAAGACGGATATATCATAAAATGGAAAATGCGTGACGATTGGACGTAAGTAATTTACATGGTTTATTATAACTTGCAACTGATTTACATTATAACTCAATTATTATTTTTCATAGTACACTCATTAGTAAACAGCCAATGGTGGATGGATTAACATGTATGGCGTTTACTGTTTCATTTGTTCCAAACACTGCCAATAGATATTTTATGGCAGCTACAGATGAACATGTTCGATTATATGATTTTGATGCAGCACAGGTATTTGAATTATTTAATTATTTATAAGATATGTTACATACGTTGTAATCAATTACATTAATAGATATTGTTATAAAGCTTATGCAAACCTTTTCGGACAACATGTATTCTCAATATTGTGACTGTGGCAAATTCATTCACCCTCTCGAACCATTAGAAGATCAAGAGATTAATGACGATAGTGTAGAAGAGTGCAATAGTAAATCTAAAAAAAAGCAAATACCCCCGAAATTCGCATATTTTATTACTCGCGGCGTAGAAATTTTAGATGCAGAAGGTGGAAAAATAGGTGATGGTTCATTTTCTTTTAGAATTAATATAAGGGTGCTGTTATCATGTACTAAAAATTGTTATATAATTCGACTTAGCATCACGTGTTAATGTGTGCATTTTGCACAAATTAATATACCCTTCTAAAAAGGGTCAACCGTTTGAACTTAAAGAAGTGCGAAGATATGGGCATAAAGAGTAAGTAACCATTTATAAAATAAAACAATTACTTTTTGATTTGATTAAAGAATATATATATTTATTTAATTTAATAGTTATCATTCTAACTCATGGCTTATAAAAATTTCATCAAATGGCCGCTATATCGCGGCTCCAACGATGACTGGACATGTTTTTATATTCAACTTAAGAACCGGAAATGTTACAGCCATATTAAGAGATCATGAAGGTACTGTAATTTTTAAACTTAATGTCATTATTATTAACAAATTATTAATTTTTGTAAGTTTACAAAAACAGATCTAGAAGTTAGAGATGTAATATTTCATCCATGGAAACCTCTTTTATTCACCAGTGCTGATGGTGAGTTCAAAAAAGCATATTTCATAAGCTATCGTTTCAATCTACTTCTAAATTATATACTTTATTTTATATTTTAAGATGGTTGCATAAAGATCTACACTTATAAAAATAGTGCTTGATCCGAATACCTATTCGGATTTATAAATATATAGATGTTTATTTCAGTTATCCAATTCTAATCCGGTTTATCTATCCGGTTTTTATTATACATTATAGTTTATTTTGAAAATTGATTTAATAAACGAAATATGTAATCGAACATACCTCGTACGATCTATTTGGAATACTGAAAACAATCTTGAATCTTACAATT